GATGTTAAGAACATGGAAAGAACAATTTTGTCTAGGGATCTGTCATATTTAGTAACAACAGAAAGAAATGCATAAACACAATAAAAAACACAATACCCAGGACAGTGTTACGTTTGCAGGGCAGAAGAATCATACAGTGGCCAGCCTCTTCCAAACTAGTTATGAATGATGTTACACCCCTACTGTCCCGGCAAGGCCGAGGTGCACGAACACAGCCCCTTTTTCAGCTCCTCTTTGGGGTCCCCGAGCCAGTCACAGGATTCACGGCCCGCAGCCCTACCCATCTGTCTCTGATCTACACAGGTGCTTGTGAAAGAAAATGTCTGGGTCAGAACAAATCCATGACCACAACTGAAAAACAACTCACACTGGACCACACGAGTCGGGTCGGGAGGAAGGCCAGTGCTTTACCCAGCCAGGCCAGCGTGCGTGTTCTGCCAACAGTGAGCTGGGGTCTCCTCCCCACACAGGTTTGTTCAGTTCAGTGGATGTCACAAAAGAAAGGGGAACCATCAGCCAAGATGTCAAGATCATCAAGCCATCATTTTTCACACAACTGTGTATTTGTAGCTAATTCTAGATGTCATCACTCCAGAACCTGTTAATCTTTCGTACTTTCCATCTCAGTAAGTGCCACCTTACTCCGTCAATTTCTCAAGCCAGTGACAGTCATCCCAGATTGCCTCCTACTCACCACAGCGTCCACCTGTCAGCCAGTTCTGCCCTTCTCTCCAACTGCAGCCAAATCACCATCCTCTCTCTCCAGGGCAATTGCAAAAGCCCCAGAACTGATCTCCCTGTGTGCACTCTTAGCCTCACAGAGCAGCTGAGCTGACACATCGTTTCTCTTCACTCTCCTGCTTGAGACCCTCCAGAGGCTTCCATTGCAAGTAACATAAACTCCAAACTCCCCAATGTGGTCTGGGGGCCCTGTGTGATGCGGCCCTCCCCTCCCTCTCCAACTTCATCTTCTACCATTCTTCACCGACCTCCCACCACGCTGGGCCCCTGATGCTCCTGAAACACAGCAAACTGAGTTCTCCCTCCATCCTCAGTGCCTCCCTCTGCCCAAACCCAGCTCTCAACCACCAGCTTCAGGTCTCGTCCCAAGGTCACCCACTCGGAGCAGCCTTCTCTGACCAGTTTCTCTCCACCCCAATCCTATCTCATTCATAGCAGTCGTGTCCAGCATGACGGCGCTTCGGTATTGCTATCTCTGAACACCATCTTTCTCTCCTTCTAACGTGCAAACTCTGGGAGGGCAGGGATCTTGCCCGACTTGTTTACGTCTGTATCCCTGGCACCAGGCACTTAAGGAGATAGTCAATAAACTTAGCCAAATGGATAAATGAACAAACAAACAGGTGAACAGATATTAAATCCAATTCAAAAAGAATCCTTTCCTTTCACAAAGAATTCCTGCCTAACTTAGGCATCCTCTACTGATGAGCTTTATGTTGCAATAACAATGACTATCAATTAAAGGGCACAAGAAAGACCCTGTGTAATGACAGTCTACTATTACCTGCTTATTAAGAAACAGTTACTTACCAAGGATACATGTGAAATTTACTAGGTGTAGAATATAATATCTAAGCACAATAACTAAGAAAATGCCATGAAGGCTATGTTAACCAGTTTGATGAAAATAGTTCAAATTGTATATAAAGCCAGCACATTGTACCCCATGATTACATTAATGTACACAGCTATGATTTAATAAAAAATAAATAAATAAAAAGAAATAGTTACTTAGTTCTGAAAACATGCCAAGCACTCTGTGAGGTGCTGGGAGTACAAAGATGGCAAAAAATGAACCAGTTTGGGCAGCGCCTGTGACTCAGTGAGTAGGGCACTGGCCCCATATACCAA